CTGGGTGTAATTATGAGCAGTAATTTTGATATGGCATCGCTGAAAGCGGTATTCTACGGAAGTTTTACCGATTGTTGAGTACTGATAGTTATTGATATATCAAGCATTAATTCAACACCCCACCTCACGTATCTACCGTGCAGTTTGGGATACTTGGAGCCTTATTAAGAATTTTCTATTAAAAAAAATTGTGATGTGAGACTCTTTTATAGAACACAGGGATGGTAAAGTACTGCAGCCCCTGTATTCTGTAACTTTTTAATAACATTCGATATTGTCTATTTTACAACAATTTATTTTGTTTGTTTTATTGTTTTTACAATAACAAAATAAATTTAAACAATATCGAATGTTGTTAAAACTTACAAAATAGGCCTACAGGTGCAAGTTGAATACGAAACATGTTGGCACGATGATTCAGCCTCACTACCGGGCAATTTGGGATTATTGGAGACTTGCTAATGATGATGGAAAAGTCGACTTGCATATTTGTCAGAAGTAATAATTGTAATAGCTAAAAGTCCTCGACCACATATCACAATTTCTGAGAAGTTTTAAAAGTCTCCAACTAAGGTCTATTAAATATCATGGTGTAATCATGAGCAGAAATTTGATGTGGATTTTGATGGGTTTGATCTGGTATTCTGCGGAAGTTTCGCCGATTGTTGAGTACTGATAGCAACTTATTGATATACCAAGCATTGATTCAGCCCCATCTTACGTATATACCCAATATGGGATTCTTGGAGTCTTGCTAAAATCGTAGGTCATCGGTAGTTCCTTAATAATGATGATGAAAAGGTCTACATACATATATGTTAGAAGCAACAATTGTAATGGCTAAAAAAAAATCCTCAACCCCCTATCATAATTTTTGAGAAGTTTTCAAAGTCTCCAATTAATTTTCCGTTTTTTTATAAAACATTATTTTTATAGATATTAACAGAAATTCTCTAAGCATGTTCACTTTTGGAATATTTTCAATATTTGATTTGGCTATATATATACAATAAAAATAAAACAAACTTATGAAATCCTCTTCAGTTAGTCAGGTAATTTTTTCAAAATTGCTTTGTCATCTCGTACCTAAATATTTGTTAGTGTTCATATTTTTCCAATTTTTGTTTGCTCGTTTCCAAGGCAACACCTGATCGGACATGAGCTTTATTTTCGGATTAATGAAATCTAAAGATAACTCATTGAACTTTGACTTTCATAGTTTACTGAAAAAACACATACAAACATACATACACATCTTTATCAGTTTTTTTAACTATTGATAACAGTTTTGAAAATAATTCCAGAATCGATGATAGTCGCACCTGTAATATTTATATTTATTTCTTTCTAAATGCCAAGCTATTTGGGCATTTGAACTATTCCACTCTGATAATAAAAAAATAAAATCGAAAAGCAACAACAAATTCCATTCAATTTTTCAATTTTGGTTTTTTGTTTTTTTTTTATTTCCAAACCACTTACCTTAGTCCTGAAACGTTGCATGGCAGTCAACAGCGACATAAACATCATTTTCACCACCAAAACAGCACTCCAGAAGATATAGGCTTTGAAGACGGCATTATCGAAAGTCAATAAATCCAAGGCGGACATTTTGCTGTTGTTGTTGTTGTTTTTTTATTTAATTAGAAAACAAAAAGAAAACTGCGTAAGACTACCGGCTCAACCGACACTTCGTAGTGAACTAAACTAAGGTCTTCACTAAATTTTTATAAATTTTTTTTTTGGTCAGCATTCTTTTGTTGGTGCGTTTTGTGTCGTCGTTTGTCGTTATCTCTGTTTTTTTATTTTCAATGGCGGGACCGGCATATTCTCAACGCTCAATGGCATGACATGAATAGTATTTCAGTGAGAAACGTCGCTCTCACTTTTTTTCCGAATGTGTGTCGTGGGGTCTTCTCATTATTGTAACGTATATTTTGTTGTTTCTAGTTGGGCTCTCATTCTTTGGAGACCAATGGAAATTTGGGGGCAAATGAGGCATTCCATAATAAATTAGGTATAAAATTATTCACTTATTTTTAAAATATCCGAAAATAATTTTGAAAAATTGCAAGCTTTGAATCTGGAATAATAAGTTTTCCATTTTTTTAAATTCATGTTTGGATAATCTTTAAAAAATTCTTACAATGATAATCTCTCCAAAAATAATTTATAAAAAATCCGCAGTTAGACTATGTCTCCAAAAAAAATGATTTTTTAAAATTAATATAAGTAATATTGTAGTCCGTAATATCTTCAAAAAATTAGTTAAAAATTCCATGGGTAATTTTTTCAAAACATTTTTTTCAGTTTACGTTTTGGTTATCTCTCCAAAAATAATTAAAAAAATCATATAACTATTTTACTATAAAAAAGGAGGTTATATGGGGACGACCCCATAAAGGGTCGAATATTTAAAATTTTTGGTAGAGAGATTTGTTACCATATACGACTTCATAATACCAAATTGCAGCGAATTCGGTTGAAAAGCGCACTCAAAAACCCCAAAATACCGAAAATTTGGGGGTACCCTTATATGAGGGCTATCCGAAAAAATGGACCTATATTTATAATTTTTCGTGGAGAGATTTGGTACCTATTAAGAACTCTAAATACTAAATTGCAGCCAATTCGGTGGAAAAATACGATCAAAACCCCAAAAATACTGAAAATTAGGAGGTACCGTTATATGGGTGCTACCAGAAAAATGGACCTATATTTATAATTTTTTGTGGAGACATTTGGAACCCAATGTACAAAATTTCAGCGTATTCGGTTGAAAAACGTGCTCAAGAACCCCAAAATACCGAATATTGGGGGGTACTGTTATATGGGAGCTATGCCTAAACGTGGACCGATATATCCCATCTTCGAACTTGACCTGCCTCAAGACAAAAGACGACTCTATGCAAAATTTCAGCTCCCCAGCTCTGAAGGAATTAAGATTCCTTCAGAAGATATCGTGATTACAACAGACGGACGGACGGAGGGACAGACTGACGGACATGGCTAGATCGTCTTAGAATTTTACCTTGATCAAGAATATATATACTTTATAGGGTCGGAAATGAATATTTCGATGTGTTACAAACGGAATGACAAAATTAATATACCCTCCATACTATGGTGGAGGGTATAAAAATTATTGTCTCCAAATAAAAACTAATCTCTCCAAAAGAAATCTGACCATTAGTCTTGAATAGTTCGGCTGGCAGCCCAACGACTCCTGCTGCCTTATTGTTCTTGAGCCGATTAATTGCATTTATGACTTCATCTTAGCTAGGTGGTATACACTCTATACCATCATATCATATTGGTTCTGGGGTATCTTCTTCTCCGCCAATCACCGCCAAAGCGAGAACTGCGCCTGTTCTGTACAACGTGCGCACATTCCATGTGAAGATTCGCAGATCGTGGTCCTTTATACGTTTGTGGGGGTTCGTCAACATTAGGGGGGTTTGGCTTTCTTTTTCTTTGCTTTCTCATAGTAGGTTGGGTCCGTCTGTCCATTATAATTTGTAAACACGATACAGGCCACATCTATGGACCAATCTTCACGAAATTTTGCATGTAGGATGGGTTCTGGCCAATGAAGACCCCTATTGTTTTTGGTAAAGATCGGTTAATATTTAGGGGATGAAATGGACCAAATACTTAATTTTTGTCGGGTTTTCTGGTCGCTCCAGAGGCCGCAATTATGGCCCAAACATCTCCAATTTTTACATGGAGAAGGGGATTGGGCCAAAGAATAATCATGCCAGTTTTGATAAAGATCGGTCAATATTTAGCGGGTCAAATGGACCCTGACTTTTGTGTGAAAAATGACAAAATTTGTATTCTATAGCGTATATATTTTCCTCTGAAGGACATTGGGCCGAGAAGTTGATAGTATATCCAAGAGGAGTGGTTGACCTTTAAATTGATACCAATTATATTGTCGTATGTACTCGGATGTGGGAGCTACACTCAAATATGTACAGGTGCTTACGTATTCAGATATTATTTAGTAACCCATTACCAGATTAGAGAACGGGAATATAGCGCTGATCGCTTTGAAATTTTTCATGAAGTTCCAGTTGTGGTCAAGGACAACGCTTTTAATTTTCGGTGATGATCAGATTAAAATTTTGAGATGAAATGGACCGAAAACTTATTTTTTTGCGTGTTTTCGAGTCGAATAATATCCGAACATCACAACACAACCCACCGTGAAGGGAATCTGGACAAGTAATTAGAAGGGCTTTACTGAATATTCGAAAATGCAAGGAAAAGGTTCTGTTGACCTCTAATCGGGCAAGAGGATGCAATAGCACGAGTAAACATCGGAGTAAACTTCCGCAGAAAGTTAGAATTCCGTGGTAGTTGTGTAGGGTATCGTATGGTCGGCCCCGTCCGACTATACTGCTCCGCTCACTGGTTTAAAAAATCTACGCTTGGAAAATATTTCCAAAATTATGTATTAAAATATCCAAATATAATATCTAAAAAATCCAATGACAAGATTTCGTGACCACTTCTTGGTGGAACGCCTCTGATACCGGCAATGGTGACGTGTTGATAGCTTATTTGTTGTCATAATTTCCGAACATATGCGAATATGCATGTCAGATCTAGGCGATAACAAAAACAAATTGTTTTGTTTTGTGGAAAATTGGCAAAGAGAGCGAACTGTTATATAAACCGGCATACTGTTATACGAGTTTTCTAACCCTCTTGAGGGAGACAAACTGAATGACGTTTCGGGCAGCATTTGGTGTTATAGGTATGATAGACTGGGCCGTCTTATTAAATATTTCCCTTAAATAAAATTCAAAAAAAAAAAAAAAAAATAAAAAAATTTTCCAAAATTCCAAAAAAAAAAAATTAAAATTCCATTTTTAATTAAATTTTTCAAAAATGTTTCTTATTTATTGAAGTAAAGCCCTTTAAGGGTTCAAAATCCACACCCACAAATTATTATATCTTATGAAAAAATTAACATGGTATTCAGTATTCTAAAACTAATGGAATTCGATACAAATTTTAAATGCCATATAACCGGTGATCAGATAACCTGCACCGAACGATAAAAAGCGTGCAGGTTGCGGCACCACAACCACAGCATAGACCAATGTGTGTATTATGCGAACAGCGGCCATTGCACGGTATAAATTGATTGCCACCACTGCCGATGGATCGGTAAGAACGTACAGGAGGCCGGCAATGAAAAAGGGTAGAATATTCTCCAGGTCATTCAAATGGGATCTGGGAAAGAAGAAAAAAAATATTATTTTCAAAATAACGAAAAAGATAAAAGATATTGTCCAGACACTTACCGGCGTACACGTTCCACATAGGGATTGTCATAGGTGACCTTGTCTCGCTTGAATAGGCAATCTTCGGGATTGGCAAAAGTCTGAAAAGGGGAGAATAAAATACATAAATTTTTAAATAATATTATTTATATAAATCCACGCCTCTATGAGTTGGTCAAAAAATATTCGTTTTATAAATCCACGCCTCTATGGGTTGGTCAAAAAATATTCGTTTTATAAATCCACGCCTCTATGGGTTGGTCAAAAAATGTTCGTTTTATAAATCCACGCCTCTATGGGTTGGTCAAAAAATATTCTCACGCCTCTATGGGTTCCTCAAAAAATATACCTTAAAAATCCAAATCACCATTGGACCTTCCAAAAAGAAAAGAAAATATTTTTTTAATTGAGGTTCCACTGTTATAGCTTCGATTCTCTCTTTATGAGCGTAAATTTGTTATAATGCCGGTTGGAATGCATTTTCCGTAGAGTAACTGAAAATACCTGCTGCCAAGCTTGAAATGACGTTGTGATTCAATAAGTTTATGCATATCATTATCGAGCGTTTAAAAATAATTAGATGCAGTTAAATGACAAGGAAGTATGGAAAAAAATAAATAAAAAACAACTATCATTTAATTGAAATGCAACCTGCAATGCAATCCATATTTATTATATCTGAACTTTGGAATGTTAGGAAGGAATAAAATTCGAAATTTCTTGAAAACACTTGAAGTACACAAATTCATCTTCACATCCAGGCATTTTTTAACTCCGATTTTATAATTTTTCGGTTCTATAAATCTGAGGTCCTCCATATAGAATTTTTATTTATTTATTTTTCTTTTTCAAAATTCCCTTCCTTACTCACCCCGGTTCGGAAACGTTGTAATCCGGTCAATATGGCCATTGCCAAAATTTTCAACACCAAAATGCCCGACCAAAAGATGTAAGCCCGGAACACATCATTGTCTAGATTCAATAAATCTGTTGCATTTTTTGCCATCGTTATGGGTGGAATATTGTAAATGTTAGCTAACGCGTATATCCGAACGATTGAACTTGTGAATTGCTACTGGTTACAGTCATCATTGCGGAAATTGATTATATTTTTGATTCTCTGATTTGTAGAAATTCCATTGTCAGAGATTAATGGAAGTCTGGCTCACAATCTGAATAGATCAATGTAAAATTAAGAGAGAGTATTAAGTAAGCAGGTAAATTGGATTAGCAATCTCCTATAAATATCGGCAATTGACATAAGGTACAGAGCGAGGGGAATATGCGAATTCTAAAGGAAAATATTCTTTAAAAAATCCACGCTTCTGTGTCCAAGAAATATTCTTTAAAAAATCCACGCTTCTGTGTCCAAGAAATATTCTTTAAGAAATCCACGCTTCTGTGGGGTGCCCAAGAAATATTCTTTAAGAAATCTACGCCTCTGTGGGGTGTTCAAGAAATATTCTTTAAGAAATCCACGCTTCTGTGGGGTACTCAAGAAATATTCTTCAAGAAATCCACGTTTCTGTGGGGTGTTCAAGAAATATTCTTTAAAAAATCTACGCTTCTGTGGGACCCTAAAAAAATTTTTTTAAGAAATCCATGATTCTGTGGGACCCTAAAAAAAATTTTTTAAGAAATCCATGATTCTGTGGGACCCTCAAAAAATATTCTTTAAGAAATCCACGCCTATGATGGTCTCTCAAAAAATATTCTTTAAGAAGTCCACGCATATTACGGTCCCTCAAAAAATATTCTTTAAGAAATCCACGCCTATGATGGTCCCTCAAAAAAATATTCTTTAAGAAATCCACGCTTCTGTGGAACCCTCAAAAAATATTCTTTATGAAGTCCACGCCTATTACGGTCCCTCAAAAAATATTCTTTAAGAAATCCACGCCTATTACGGTCCCTCAAAAAATATTCTTTAAGAAATCCACGCCTATTACGGTCCCTCAAAAAATATTCTTTAAGAAATCCACGCCTATGATGGTCCCTCAAAAAATATTTTTTAAGAAATCCACGCCTATTACGGTCCCTTAAAATATATTCTTTAAGAAATCCACGCCTATGATGGTCCCTCAAAATATATTCTTTAAGAAATCTACGCCTATGATGGTCCCTTAAAATATATTCTTTAAGAAATCCACGCCTATGATGGTCCCTCAAAAAATATTCTTTAAGAAATATTCTTTAAAAAATATTATTTAAGAAATCCACGCCTATGATGGTCTTCGAAAAAATATTATTTAAGAAATCCACGCCTATGATGGTCTTCGAAAAAATATTCTTTAAGAAATCCACGCCTATGATGGTCTTCGAAAAAATATTCTTTAAGAAATCCACGCCTATGATGGTCTTCGAAAAAATATTCTTTAAGAAATCCACGCCAATGATGGTCTTCGAAAAAATATTCTTTAAGAAATCCACGCCTATGATGGTCTTCGAAAAAATATTCTTTAAGAAATCCACGCCTATGATGGTCTTCGAAAAAATATTATTTAAGAAATCCACGCCTATGATGGTCTTCGAAAAAATATTCTTTAAGAAATCCACGCCTATGATGGTCTTCGAAAAAATATTCTTTAAGAAATCCACGCCTATGATGGTCTTCGAAAAAATATTCTTTAAGAAATCCACGCCTATGATGGTCTTCGAAAAATATTCTTTAAGAAATCCACGCCTATGATGGTCTTCGAAAAATATTCTTTAAGAAATCCACGCCTATGATGGTCTTCGAAAAAATATTCTTTAAGAAATCCACGCCTATGATGGTCTTCGAAAAAATATTCTTTAAGAAATCCACGCCAATGATGGTCTTCGAAAAAATATTCTTTAAGAAATCCACGCCTATGATGGTCTTCGAAAAAATATTCTTTAAGAAATCCACGCCTATGATGGTCTTCGAAAAAATATTATTTAAGAAATCCACGCCTATGATGGTCTTCGAAAAAATATTCTTTAAGAAATCCACGCCTATGATGGTCTTCGAAAAAATATTCTTTAAGAAATCCACGCCTATGATGGTCTTCGAAAAATTATTCTTTAAGAAATCCACGCTTCTGTGGGGTACTCAAGAAATATTCTTTAAGAAATCCACGCTTCTGTGGGGTGCTCAAGAAATATTCTTTAAGAAATCCACACTTCTGTGGGACCCTCAAGAAATATTCTTTAAGAAATCTACGCCTCTGTGGGATGCTCAAGAAATATTCTTTAAGAAATCTACGCTTCTGCGGGACCCTCAAATATTCTTTAAGAAATCCACGCTTCTGCGGGACCCTCAAATATTCTTTAAGAAATCAACGCTTCTGTGGAGTGCTCAAGAAGTATTGATTAAAAAATCCACGCTTCCGTGGGATGCTCAAGAAATATTCTTTAAGAAATCCACGCTTCTGTGGGGTACTCAAGAAATATTCTTCAAGAAATCCACGCTTCTGTGGGGTGCTCATGAAATATTCATTAGGAAATCTACGCCTCTGTGGGACCCCCAAGAAATATTCTTTAAGAAATCCACTCTTCTGTGGGGTGCTCAAGAAATATTCTTTAAGAAATCCACACTTCTGTGGGACCCTCAAGAAATATTCTTTAAGAAATCTACGCCTCTGTGGGATGCTCAAGAAATATTCTTTAAGAAATCTACGCTTCTGCGGGACCCTCAAATATTCTTTAAGAAATCCACGCTTCTGCGGGACCCTCAAATATTCTTTAAGAAATCAACGCTTCTGTGGAGTGCTCAAGAAGTATTGATTAAAAAATCCACGCTTCCGTGGGATGCTCAAGAAATATTCTTTAAGAAATCCACGCTTCTGTGGGGTGCTCAAGAAATATTCTTTAAGAAATCCACGCTTCTGTGGGGTGCTCAAGAAATATTCTTTAAGAGATCCACGCTTCTGTGGGGTGCTCAAGAAATATTCTTTAAGAGATCCACGCTTCTGTGGGGTGCTCATGAAATATACTTCTAGAAATCCACGCTTTTGTGGGGGTGCTCAAGAAATATTATTTAAGAAATCCACGCTTCTGTAGGGTGCTCAAGAAATATTCTTTAAGAAATCCACGCTCCTGTGGTGTGCTCAAGAAATATTCTGTGGGGTGCTCAAGAAATATTCTTTAAGAGATCCACGCTTCTGTGAGGTGCTCATGAAATATTCTTTTAGAAATCCACACTTCTGTGGGGTTCTTAAGAAATATTCTGTTAGAAATCCACACTTCTGTGCGGTGCTCAAGAAATATTCCTTAAAAATTCCACGCTTCTTTGGGACCCTCAAAAAATATTCTTTAAGAAATCCACGCTTCTGTGGGTGCTCAAGAAATATTTTTTCAGAAATCCACGCCTATGATGGTCCCTCAAAAAATATTTTTTTAAGAAATCCACGCTTCTGTGGGACCCTCAAGAAATATTCATTAAGTAATTCACGCATCTGTAGGACCCTCAAAAATTATTCTTTAAGAAATCCACGCTTCTGTCGGACCCTCAAAAATTTTTCTTTACGAAATCCACGCTTCTGTCGGACTCTCAAAAATTTTTCTTTACGAAATCCACGCATATGATGATCCTTCGAAAAATATTCTTTAATAAATCCACGCATATGATGGTCCCTCAACAAATATTTTTCAAAAAATCCTCGGCTCTGTTGGTCCATATTTTTAAATCTATGCTACCCACTGTAACGTGACCTAAAACCCACAATTGGACAATGAGTTTTCCTAACGCACTTTAATTGCGAAAAAAATCATTGTTTTTTACATCGTTTTCTTGTCGTGTGGTTTTGTTTATTAATAATTTTCAAAAATAATTAGGTTATGTTTACAACGTCGATACTCAAAAGCCGGTCACACACACGAATGCCAACACACTGAAATTGACAATAGAACAAATATTTTCAAATTATTCTTCCCCCCTTTTTAGTGCTCTAGATCTACTTAGAAATTTAGTACAAATTCTCAAACACCCAACACCCTTTACCCGCCATGAATTAAAACTGCATTACTCACCCAACACTTTTCTGAGTCAATGGGTCCGATGTGCTTCCATACCCATCCCCATTATCATCATCTCATTATAATATTTTGGCATTTATGCAGTGATTATCATCCAACTGTAGGCAACTTTTTGTACAATTTTCTTGGAATCTAGTGCGGGCGGAGGGGTAATCGCGCAGCACTTATTGCTATTAACTCTTTAAAAGGCCTCCCTTTGTCCACTTAATCATCTGGAAAGTGGATTATGGAATTTATGTTCGTAATTTGTAAAAATTTTAATAATGTTTTTTGTAGTTGTTGTTATTATGGTTGTTGATCTACATTAGTGTAGGTTGGGATACACAATGCAGGGTTGTACTTAGAGAGAAATATTCCGAAAACAATAAAAAGGGCCGAAAATAGGAACACAATTTTTAGAAGAATATTTTTTGAGGGCCATTTATAGGCGTGGATTTTTTAAAGAATATTTTTGCTACGACCAACAGAGGCGTGGATTTTTTAAAGAATATTTTTTCCATGACCATCATAGGCGTGGATTTTTTAAAGAATAGTTTTTCCATGACCATCATAGGCGTGGATTTTTTAAAGAATATTTTTGCAACGACCAACAGAGGCGTGGATTTTTTAAAGAATATTTTTGCAACGACCAACAGAGGCGTGGATTTTTTAAAGAATGTTTTTTCCATGACCATCATAGGCGTGGATTTTTTAAAGAATAGTTTTTCCATGACCATCATAGGCGTGGATTTTTTAAAGAATAGTTTTTCCATGACCATCATAGGCGTGGATTTTTTAAAGAATATTTTTTCCATGACCATCATATGCGTGGATTTTTTAAAGAATATTTTTTCCATGACCATCATAGGCGTGGATTTTTTAAAGAATATTTTTTCCATGACCATCATAGGCGTGGATTTTTTAAAGAATATTTTTTCCATGACCATCATAGGCGTGGATTTTTTAAAGAATATTTTTTTTTCAAGTAGCTCTGAAAGGCCCTGCAAAAATCATATTTCCCATTCTTTCTCCATTTCATTCCTCCGTTTTTTTTTTTTGTATGATCAATATTTTGATATGCACATTTTATGCTGCCTGGCCATCAGTTCATCTTCAAACCGCATAGGTTTTCATTTGAAATTCAAGTTGAAACACAGCATGGCTCAAGAAGTCGTCTGCGGACCCCTGGCCACAGTCATGAGCGATCATTTCCTTTTGGCTCTGCATGTAATTAATTAATTGCTTTTTGTTTTTTTCTCTTCTCATAATTTCATAATATGACAAGAACGATTATAGGTGGGTGGGTCGGTGGTCATTGCATCTGGTTGTTGTTGTTCTTGTTGTTGTTTTGTGGACAAATAACATACATAATTACATACAGATTTGCATAATTCATGTCAAAACACAAAACAAAATTATAATTTTGGTCATTTTCCGCACGGCAATTCAATGACTGCTGTCAGTTACGGTTCAACGATCACGATGATCGAAACGTTGATAACGGAAGTTCAGTTTTTGTTGTAAATGTGAAAGTGAAATAACCGGATAACCGAAAAATAATAGAAAAAAAACAATGTGAAATAATAATGAAGAGAAGCTTTATTCAGGAAACACAAGGATATGGATATTAAAGATATAAAGTGATTTCAACAATAAAAAATTTTATAAAAATAATAATTAAAAAAATTGAAATCAATTTTAATAATTTTTTATTGGACATTAACAAATTGAGAACATTATTGAAAAAATGTCACACGGTGATCGCGGTGGCCGTATAGGTGTGGTGAAATTTTTGGAATTGGTAATTTTTTTAATAAAAACTTGTTAATTTATAAAAAAAAAACTACAAGATATACCATAAAGAAGCATTTTGTGGAACCAACAGAAGCGTGGATTTTTAAAGACCAACAGGATGTTTTAGTGCATTTTGAGGGTCCCTTAGAAGCCTGCAGTTTTTAAAGAATGTTTTTAAGGCCCCACAAGCGTGGATTTATAAAATAATATTTTAAAGAATATTTTTTGAAGGACCATCGTCAGCGTGTATTATTTAATATTTGTAGAAGGACCTGCAGAATCGTGGATTTTTTAAAGAATATTTCTTGGATGACCTACAGAAGCGAGGATTTTTCCAATAATAGTTTTTGGAGCACTAGAAGAAACATGTGAATTTTTTAAGAACATTTTTCAGAGAGACCTGCAGAAGCGTGGATTTTTTTTTTTGGAATATTTTTGAGGGACCAGTAGAAGCGTAGATTTTGTAAAGATTTTTTTTTATGAAGGACTAGACGAAGTGTGGATGTATTAAAGAATATTTTTTGGAGGACTAGGAGAAGAGAGGATTTTTTAATAAATATTTTTTTTTGGAGGGCTAGAGGAATCGTTAATTTTTTAAAGAATATTTTTGGAGAACTAGAGATAGCGTGGATTGTCGATTTATTAAGGCATGTGTTTTAAAGAACCAACCAAAGATTTAATAAAAAAAAATGTTGGGCGCCAATAGAAGCGTGAATTTTTTTATACCCTACACAACTTTGTTGTCAGAGTATTATAGCTTTGTGCAGCCCCAAACGTTTGTAACGCCGCGAAATATTGGTCCTAGACCCACCTTTAAGTATACCGATCGTCATATCTCGACTAGCTGAGTCGATCTAGACATGTGTGTCCGTCCGTCCGTCCGTTTGTCCATTATAATTTGTAAACACGATACAGGCCACAGTTATGGACCAATCTTCACGAAATTTTGCATGTAGGATGGGTTCTGGCCAATGAAGACCCCTATTGTTTTTGGGAAAGATCGGTTAATATTTAGGGGATGAAATGGACCAAATACTAAATTTTTGTCGGTTTTTCTGGTCGCAACAATGGTCCGAACATCGTGAAATTTTGCATGGAGAAGCGGATCGGGCCAAAGAATAAGCATGCCTGTTTGGAGAAAGATCGGTCAATTTTTAGCGGGTCAAATAGACCCTGACTTTTGTGTGAAAAATGACAAAATTTGTATTCTATGGCATAAATATTTACCCCTGAAGAACATATACCCGAGGAGTGGTTGACCTTTAAATTAAGACCAATTATATTGTTGTATGTACCTGGATGTGGGAGTTACACGTAAATATTTACAGGTGCTTACGTATTAATATATTATTATTAGGGCGGAAATATAGCGCTGATCGATTTGAATTGTTCCATGAGGTTCCAGTTATGGGCAAATACAACGCCTATAATTTTCGGTGATGATCAGATAATAATTTTGGGATGAAGTGGACCGAAAACTTAATTTTTTTGTTTTTTCGAGTTGATCTATAGGCCATAATTGAAAGCCGAACATCACAACACAACACCTGGTGAAAGGTGTTTGTTGGCCTCTAGTCGATCAAGAGGGTGCAAATATCGCGAAATATTGTCCAATCTCAGAATTTAGTATCACAGAAAGTTAGATTTTCGTGGAAGTTGTGTAGGGTATCATATGGTCGGCCCCGTCCGACTATACTGCTCCGCTCACTGGTTATGAATATTTTTTGAGAAACCACCATAGGTGTGGAAATTTAAAAAAAAAATATTGTTGAGGCCAAAAACAACGTGTAAAATATATATTTACCATACTATCTGAAGGTTCGAATCAAAAATACGTATATTTTTGGAGACCAAAAAAAATTTTTTTTGGAGATCTGAGTATATGTTCTAGGTTTAACAGCGATTTCTTAAAAACTCGAGAAACTCTTAAGAAAAACTGGGGTAACTTTTTTTTACGGATTTTTTTTTTAATATTTTTTAAAGTGTGTTTTTTTAATTATATCTTGAGAAAATATATAAAAACAAGGAAAAAAGGGTCTGTCGGTGTTGCAGACAGATGTATACCCTCAGCCTGTGGTTTGCAGAGATCTTCGGAATGATATACAGTTTTTTTTTATTAAAGAGGTTTCGGATTTAATGTTAGGTTATTCAATTTGCTTAAAATTTTATTTGCAAATTTTAAAAGAATTGACCGTTTGTTCCGACGAGTCCCACCTTCTGACTCAATCTATTTATGGCAGATGCAATATGTTTTGTAAATTTTAGTCCCATACTGACATTTTATTCGCCTTATATTGGCGATTTCAGATTATTGAAAATTTTTACCATTTGTGTGGGAGGTACCAGAAGTAGTGACCATTTCTGCGGGAGTTGCCAAAAGTAGAGAACTAATGGATCCCACCTTCGAACTTGATTTAGGCTTGGTAAAGATAATAGGCTGTACAAAGTTTGGCTCAAATCGGACATTAATTTCGCTCAATTTTTGATTTATAAGCCAGACAGATAGACGGATATTTGTTAATCGACACTAAATTGTCTGAAACAGATTTGGTCCGATGAAACACGGGTTCTAAAACTAATATTTTGATAAGACACATTTTTACCGTATCATACATACCCCAATAGCCATTAGTGACGATCAGATTTTTTTTCGATCAGTGGGTATTATTTTAAAGATTATGGGGTGTATCCATTGATGGGTGTATGTTTTGGACCCCGATTTTTTTTTGAAAAGTTCTAACATAAATGATAGACTACAAAGATATGGGATTTAGAATCCTATAAAAACAACAACATTCTGAGTTCTTGGAGGCTGAGAAACAATTTTTGTAGAAAAATATTTAAAATAAAATACCGAAAATGGATCCAAGACCTTGACCTTGTCTATGTAGACAATAAGTTGTAAATATGTTGTTAACATTCCAATAGCCAAGAATATCGTCAATTCGGCCGGGAAATACGCCTAAATTTTTTTAAAAAACAAAAATAGGCTGGGCCTTTATTTGGCGGCTATGTCAAAAAATATGTAAACGTAAAAATGTTTTTACGCTCAAAGAATCCGTAAGGCTTAATTTCAACCACTTCGTTGGGAAATTTTGGGTGATACCTTCAATAGAGCCTATTTCAAAACATGGAACTATTTCTTAAATTTTCTGTAAAAATGTGACATACAGAAGCGAGGATTGAAGAAATCGAAACAGTACACTTCGGTGAAAAAATGCATCAATTAAAAACCAGTAAGGAATGTTTAAAAGTCAGACAGGGCCGATCCTTCACCACATGCATGAAATGTCTTGCCCATAGAACAGACATACTATCTTCAGAGGATCATCGACATGCAATCGAACTAAATTAAATATAGGTGCACCATTAACATATTTAAATCTGAGCCGATTTTCATGAGACTTAGCAGACATCATTCTAGACTTAATTCAGTACGCTGCGTCAAATTTCGTGCAAATCTAAAGATGTATAGGAACTTTGGTACACTATGGGAGCTATATCTAAATCTGTGCCGATTTTCACGAAACCTAACCCACACAATTCTAATCTCAATTCAGTACACTATGCCAAATTTCGTGCAAATCGAAAATATATATAGGGACATTTGCGAACGAAAATATATATAGGGACATTTGCGAACCATTTGCTTAAACTCGAATGAAAATATATATGGGAGCTATATCTAAATCTGAACCGATTTGCATGAAAATTAACACACATCATTCTATACTTAATTCAGTATTCTATACCAAATTTCGTGCAAATCGAAAGATATACAGAGGCTTTTCACGAGACTTAGGAAACACCATTCTAGACTCAATTCAGTACACTATGTCAAGTTTCGTGCAAATCGAATGAATTGTAGGGACTTTAATGCTCCATTAACATAGAAGCGGACGAAAATATACATGTAAGCTATATCAAAATCTGAGCTGATTTTTACGAGACTGAATACAGATCATTCTAGACTCAATTCAGTATGCTATACCAAATTTCGTGCAAATCGAAAGAAATATAGGGACTTCTGTAAACTATTTACATAAAATCGGACAAAAATATATATATATGAGAGATATATCTAAATCTGAGCTGATTTTCACGAGACTTATAACACGTCATTCAAGACTCAATTCAGTACGATATGCCAAATTTCGTGCAAATCCAAAGATATATAGGGACTTTGCTACACCATTTACCTTAAATCGGACGAAAATATATATGGGAGCTATATCTTAATCTGAACCGATTTTTCCCAATTTCAAAAGGGTTCGTCCTTGTGGCAAATAAATGAGCTATACCAAATTTCATTCAATTCGGATCATAAATGCGACCTGTACTTTGTTTAAAATTTAACATGGACAGAGAGATGGGCGGACCGACATGCATAAATCAATTCGGAAACTGATTCTGTGCATATTCTCAAAAGGAGCCATGGCTCTCTTTCGTTTCCTTTGGCCTGTTACAAACTTATGAAGGGTGTAAATACCAAAGGAGGACAGGTTACCGCTTTATAGACTATACCAAAAAGTGGACCTATATAACTTACAATATAATATATGCTATGTGAACATTTTCAAAGGTCTGTCCTAAATATTTCGATTATACATAATTTTATTCTGTTCAAAACTATATAAAAAATTAAGAGGGTCTCCGGTGAATATTTCGAGATGTTGCAAACTGAACGCCAAATTTAATATACTTTGCACCTTGGAAATGCACATGGAAATGTAAAAATCCAGGCTTCTTATAGATCCACACAAAACTCTCATGTTTTCACTTTATTCTTTCAAAATTTGCAGGTCCCAGAAAAATATATTCTTTTAAAATTCACATTTTTAATATGTCTATTTGTTGTCCCGTATTTCCAGGGCTTTGCCATAGCATGCTTAGTTTTGCATTACTACAGTTTCGATGATCGTGACATAGCCACATCCCTATTGGCGACAGGATCTTTTAGCGGTTATATCATTGTTTTAGTTGGTGTATTTGTAGGTGAGTACTTTTTTCCAAAAAGGTCACATGATGAGATTCAAATGCACAATTTTTGGAATATTCCAAATTTTTGGCTAATTCATTAAATAATAATTAATATAAATCCACTTTTCAATTTTTTCATTATTTATTGATTTCTTCTTTAATGAAAATCTATTAATCAAAATAATTCAAATTGCATTGCCTACTTTTAGGCGCCATGATGCGTGCCCACATTCATCGACGCATTGATATTTTCTTTAGCATTATGGGCTGTGCTCTGTTCATAGCATCGGGTGTTTTCGTCATTGAGGCATGGGAATATTCCTTCCGAACGAGGACACGAGATTTAGCGTTGATCAAAGCCTCACTGGCCATTGTGAATGGGGTGCTGTTCGGATTTGATGCCATTTTTACATTTCGTGACAAATAGACGAGACGAAACAACAACAATCAACCATTTAACTGCCAATAATAATTTCCATTAATTTTAAAAATTACCTTCATTTTTTTTTATACAATAATAATGATGTGAGTGTGTGTGCGTTTTAATTTTAATTTTTATTTTTCTTTTTTTTTTTGCAATGTAAGTAAATGCTAAAAATAATAATAATAAAAAATATGTTTTGATGTTAAAATAAAAAAATGTGTAGAAAAATTCTTTTTTTTTTTTTGGAATTCATCCCTTAGAGGTGGTTGCATGTGTGAGTGAGTGTCGAGCGAAATGAAGGGGTAGGGGTAAGTAATAAATCAATTCTAATGCCATTTTTGCGTCGTAGTTTATTTTTTCGGCAATTTATGTTAGATATTCTTTTTTTTGAATAGCAACGCAGTAGATTAAGGATATCCGCATATCCTTTGTGTGTAAGAGAAGGGGTCTGCATTCAATGAATGAAGAAATCGCATAACTATGGTCCCCATGCTTTCTTTCGAGTATCTAAAAAAGGGGGAAAAGAATGACTAATCAGTATTGAAACGGAATATTTGACAAACAGAAACTGCTCTACAAAAGTTGGATGACCGTTTTAACGTGCACATTTAGAAAAAAAAGTGCCGGTTTTCTAAGTGTTTGAACCGGATATTCAGAAAATAAACCTGATAATAATCCGGTTCAATAAATTTAACACGTTTGTTAACTAGTTTTCTAATGTTATGCATAGAAGGCATTGAACCCGGTTTTAGCATCTGAATATCCGGTTCAAAAATGTAGGTAACCGGATCTTTATTTCTAGAAATTAATTTTATTTTTTAGAAAATAGTTCATACGAATACACAAGAAAAATAAATTTTGAGTAAAAAAGAATCGGGTTTCTACATTTTGAACCAGATATTCGGGATAATAAACCCGATAATCTATACTAATAAAAGAGTAAAGTGGTTGACTGACTGACTGATTTAACGATTCATCAACGCCCAGACGAAACGGCTGAAGCTAGAATCTTGAAATTTTGGGTGAGGGTCACTCTTGGCCCAAATGTGACAGATAAGGCTGGGTTTTTGGAAATTCGTACTAGAAGGGTACGAAAAGTACTAAAAAGTACTAAATATGATATCATTTGTATTTGGCGAACCAGTAGAGCTAGAACTCTGAAATTTGGATTGAGGGTCACTGATGGAGTGTAGGATAGATGTACCAAAGGGTTTTTGGAAATTCGAACTACAACTATCCGAAATGTATGAAAATGTACTAAATTTGGTACAATTCTGTAGCATGAGAACGGATAGAGCTAAAAACTTGAAATTTGGAATGCGATTTAGGGTTGGGAAGTAGGGTCGATATAAGGAGATGGTTTTGAAACCATGTACTCATGTGTACGAAAAGTACTATATGGTACTATTGATTTGGAGGTACAAATGGAGCTAGAATCCTGAAAATTGAAAGTAACATTACCGTCGCAGTGTAGGATTGGAATATGTACGTAGTTTTGGAAATGTTTACTTATGTGTACAAAAAGTCCTAAATCGTACTATAATTGGTACAATTTGGATTTGGGTGAACCGATAGAGCTGGAACAATGAGATTTGGAGTTAGGATCTTTGTAGGGATGTAGGATTAGGGTCAGGATTCAGTTTAAGAAAATAATACTTATGGGTACTAAATTTGGTACAATTTGAATTTTAGGTGAACCAATAGAGCTAGAATCATGAAATTTGGAGTCAGGATCACTGTTGAGGTGTAAGATTGAAATATGTAGGAAGTTTTAGAAATTTGTACTATTGTGTACTAAATTTGGTACAATTTAAATTGTGGTTGAACCGGTAAAGTTGAAATCATGAAATTTTGATTTAGGATCACTGTGGGGGTTGGGGTATGTAGGAAGTTTTAGAAATTTGTACTAAGTGTACAAAATTCGGTACAATTTAAATTGTGGGTGAAGCGATAGAGTTAGAATCCTGAAATGATTCAGCATCACTGTGGAGGTGTAGGATTGGAGTATGTAGGAAAATTAGGAAATTGGTACTAATGTGTACTAAATTTGGTACAATTTGAACTGTGGGTGAACTGATAGAGTTGGAATCCTGAAATTTGGATTTAGGAACACTGTGGAGGTGTAGGTTTGGGTTAGGTAGGAAGTTTTGGAAATTCGTACTACTGTGTACTACATTTGGTACAATTTGAATTGTGGGTCAACCGATATAGTTGGAATCCTGAAACTTGGATTTAGGATGACTGTGGGGGTGTAGGATTGAGGTATGTGGGAAGTTTTGGACATTGGTACAACTATGTACTAAATTTGCTACAATTATGTATTGTGGGTTAACCAATAGAGTTGGAATCCTTAAACTGGGATTTAGGATCACTGTGGGAGTGTATGTTTGGGTTAAGTAGGAAGTTTTGGAAATTCGTACTACTGTGTACTAAATTTGATACTATTTGGATTATAATTACGATTTTATCTAATTCATGATTTCAATTGGATTGCATTATGTAGGTAATTTTTACTTATGTGTTCTAAGTGGTACTAAATGTGATGCAAATTGGATTTAAGTGAACCGATAGAATCCTGAAATTTGGAATTAAGATTGGGGTATGTGGGAAGTGTTGGAAATTCGTACTTATGTTTGCTAAAGTAGGTAGTTATGGAAATTTATATTAATATGCACTAACTGATACTCAATTTGGATTTGGGTGAACCTATATCAGATTTTTTTTCAAAATAAGTATTACAAGAGTACAAATGGTAAAAAATACACCATATTTAGTATAGATGTAGATTTCTGTTGCGGTCGGAATGGGTGTGTAGGGTTGAGATACAGAGGTATATTTTAGAACATACTGTGGTACTAAATGGTTCTAAAATTTTAATAATGGTCGATATAGGGTGGTTTTAAATACATCCCACATTCGCTAACGAAGTAGCGGGTATATGCTAGTAGTCAATAAATTTAGCAAGTTTTATTTACTAGTATTTAATAATATGCATATAAGGCATTGAAACCGATTTTAGTATCTGAATATCCGGTTCAAAAATATAGAGAATCGCTTTATATTTTTCGAATTAAGTTTTTTGCCATATTTGGCATAACTATATATGTTTTTAGAAAACAAATCATATTAATACGCAAGAGAAATAAATTTTGAGTAAAAAAGAACCGGGTTTCTAAATTTTTGAACCGGATATTAGGGATAATAAAACCAATAATAGTCCGGTTCAATAAATTTAACATATTTTGTTTACTAGCTTTCTAATAATTGCATATGAGGCATTGAAACCGGTTTTAGTATCCAAATATCCGGTTCAAAAATTTAGAAAACCGAATATTCGTGATAATATAACCGAAAATAGTTCGGTTCAATAAATTTAGCAGGTTTGTTTACTAGCTTGCGTATGATATGCACATGAAACCAGTTTTGGAATCTGAATATCCGGATCAAAAATATACAGAACCGGTCCATTTTTTTCTCGAAATTTATTTTTGAATTATTGTTAACATGTTTCCACAAAATAATTCATACTAATACGTACAAAAAATTTTTTAGAAGAAAAAAGGAACGGATTTTTTAAATTTATGAACCGGATATTCGGGTTAATAAAACCTTTAAAAATCCGGGTCAATAAATTTAGCACGTTTATTTACTAGCTTTCTAATTATATGCATATAAAGCATTAAAACCGGTTTTAGTACCTGAATATCCGGTTCAAAAATTTGGAGAACCGGTTCTTTTTTTCTCAAAAAAAAATTTTTTGACGTATTTAGCAAACTAAAAAGAAATATATATATATATATATATATATATATAACTAAAAAGAAAAATAAATTTCGAGGGAAAATAGAACCGAGTTTCTATATTTTTAACCGGATATTCGTGATAATAAAACCGATTAAAACCAGTTTTGGAATCTGAATATCCGGATCAAAATGTAGAGAACCGGTTAATTTTGTTATAATTTTTTACGTATTTGGCATTACTATATATATTTTTAGAAAAGAATTAATACGAATACGAAATTAATTTTTGAGGAAAAAATGAACCAGGTTTCTAAATTTTTGAACCGGATATTCAGATGAAATAACGGATAATAGTCTGGTTCAGTAAATTTAGCAAGTTTTGTTTAAAAGTATTCTAATGATATGCATATAAGGCATTGAAACCGGCTTTATTACCTTATTATCCGGTTTAAATTTTAGAAAACCGGTTATTTTTTCTTGAACATTTATTTTTTGACGTATATTTAGCATGTTTGTACAAAATAATTCATACGAATACGTAAAAAATAAATGTCGAGAAAAAATGAACCCGGTTTCTAAGTTTTTGAATCGCGTATTCGGGATAATAAAACCGATAATAGTCCCGTTCAAGAAATTAAACCCGTTTGTTTACTAGCTTTCTAATGATATGCGTATAAGACATTGAAACCGGTTTCAGTATCTGAATATCCGGTTCAACAAATTTAGAAAACCGGTTCTTACTTTTCGAAATTTATTTTTTTTTGTATTTGGCATAACTATGCATGCTTTTAGAAAACAAATCGTAAAAAAGTAAACGACGAGGATAAAATAACCGGGGTTTCTAATTTTTTTGAGGAATTTTCCTCAAAAAAATGTTGCATGGTATAACATGTTCGATCCGGCTGAACTTAAACATTTTTCACTTCTTTCTTTTTTTCTAAATCAATTCAACCCTCAGCTGTTGCTTTTCAAATACGAAACAAAACAAAAAACCTCTTAGCATCCCCATCATTTGGCAGAGCTCATCGCTCGTTCGTTCGTCTATTCATACCCTGAAATTTATTAAATACGCATTAAAAATGTTTAGCAACATTTGTTGTTGTTGTTTTTGTTGTTGAGATTACAAATAATGACGTGATGAGAAAAAATCTAAATCCATACATAATATATGTATTGTTATTGTACAGTGAATGACCCACCCAATTCTAAGCAGTGCTGGGAATAAAACGCAAAACCAAACCACGATGACATCATATGAAT